AATGCTTCTAAGACCTTGTATGTCAGCCCCGTACTAAAAAGCCATTAGAAATACAAGAGATGTCTTACCTCACTCATTTTACAACAAATCAATAGCTGCGAGTCAGATTTCACAGGTCTAATGATTTGTCGAGTATTTGGTGAGAACACTGAAATTCTAGAAACAAGCACAAGTACTTCTCAACATTTGTGAAAGATTTCAGAATGATCATCTTAATTTGAGATCAATAAAAATCAACAAGTAGGATTAAACGTCTCCCATACATAAAACCTAAAATATGATTTGAAAAATTCATTGATGAGGATATGTGTTTATCTTCAAAGAACTCTCCATCAAAGATTATGTTCCTCATTAAGAAAAAATGGAACTAAATATAGAGAGACTTTTTTTCAATGACAGTTGGCATTAAATATTATATTAGTTTCAAGAGTAAAGCATAGTACCCTAGTTGATTTGGCTCAGTAGAGAGAGCAATGGCCTGCGGACTGAAGGGTCCCAGGTTCGATTGCAGCCAGGGGCACATGCCTGGGTTGTGGGCTTGATCCCCAGTGGGGGGTGTGCAGGAAGCAGCTGATCAACGATTCTCTCTCGTCATTGATGTTTCTATGTCTCCCTCTCCCTTCCTCACTGGAATCAATAATATATATATATATATATATATATATATATATATATATATATATTATTTTTTTTAAAAGAGTATAATATAGTAATTAGACATCTATATAATTCTTGAAGTGATGATCCCAATAATTCCCACCTGGGTACCCGTCTGGCACCCTACATAGTTAGTACAATATTATTGACTATAGTCCCCCTGTTGTATTTTAGATTCCTGTGACTATTTTGTAACTGCCTATTTGTACTTAATCCCTTCAATTTTTTCACCCAGTCCCCACAACAACCCCTCCCATCTGGCAACCATAAATTTGTTCTCTATATCTCTAAGTCTATTTCCATTTTATTTGCTCATTTATTTTGTTCTTTAGATTCCACATATAAATGAAATCATATGGTATTTGGCTTTGTCTGCTGACTTATTTCACTTAGGATAATACCCTTTGAATCCATTCATGCTGTCACAGATGGTATACTTTAATTCTTTTTTATGGCTTTCGTTTAATTCTTTTTTTATTGGCTTTTTAAAAATTTTTTTCATTATATATATATACCTCATCTTCCTTATCCAGTCATCTACTGATGGACACTTAGCTTGATTCTATATCTTGGTTATGGAATCATAGTGCTGCAATGAACATAGGAATATATTTATCTTTTTGAATTAATATTTTGGGTTTCATCAGACACATACCCAGAAATGGAATTACTGGCTCATAAGGTAGTTCTATTTTATTATCTTGAGGAACTTCCACACTGTTTTCCATAGAGGCTGCACCAATTTGCAATCCCGCCAACAATGCATGAGGGTTTCCTTTACTCCACATCTTTGCCAACACTTGCTGTTTGCTGATTTCTTAATGATAGCCAATTTGACTAGTGCAAGGTGATATCAAATTGTGATTTAATTAGCAGTTCCCAAATGATTAGTAACACTGAGCATCCTTCCATATATCTATTGGCCATCTGTTTATTGAGACATACCCTTTTATATTTAAAATGTCATCACAGAGCATCATGGTGGAATATATAGACCCATGTATGTCTTCCCTTAAATCTACAACTAATTAGACATCTTTAATGCAACAAAAGTTACTCTGTTCAACAAACTAGCAAGCTTGAGAGATACACACAGTGGTACATCTGAAGGAGGGTAGTACTGGAACACTTAAAGAGGCAAGATGAGGGAGGAAGCAGGGATGTGTCTGAAGATGTGTTCCACAGCCACCATGGCTAGCCTGTGGCCCCAGCTAATGGGGTAATGGTGGAGGGGTCCAGGTAGAGCATCACACTATGGCCCAGCGGAGAGTAAGAGGGACAGTAACAGCATTGGCACCTGAGAACCTGCCTCCTCCCCGCAGTAGACCCTGGTAGCAAAAGCAAAGACATGTCTCTGGTCTCCCAGCAATATATAGCGCAGTGACACCAGCCAGGGAGGGAACCAGGTAACCGAGCACTGGGTTCACAAAGCAAACTCTCCCTCTCCCACCACATCCTCACACCACAGTAGTGGGGCCCCCAGACCCAGAGGAACCAAGCACAACGGAACAATCACCAGAGGTGGCAACTCCCTTGACCATAGTGATGACCCCCAACCCCAGGGCAAGTAGAATTGGTAACTGAAAACAGAAGCTTGTACTAGAGCACCATCTACTGGTAGACGAAACAAAGACCTCTAATTATCAACCTGCTGAATTGTTAAAATCAAAACATTACCTAAATAAGAAAGATATTCACTACTTTAAATGTCCCAGCAGAGGAACAACCCATTGAGTACCATGAAAAATTAAGGTAACATGGTAACACAGAAAGAAAATCACAATTCTCCAGAAACCAAACTCAGTCATGGAAGATAGAGTTATCTAAATAATACAGAATTCAAAATAGCAGTCATAAAGAAACTCAATGATATACAAGAAAACTCAGAAAGGCAGATCTTTAAAATTAAATAAAATTAAACCAAAGGAGTAACAAAGAAATTTAACCAAAAAACAAACAAACAAACAAACAAACAAACAAAACAAACCTGAAAGCCTGGAGCCCTAGAACTCAGTAAATGAAGTGAAGAATGCATTAGGAAAAGGACACAAATGTGGAAGAGAGGATTAGTGAGGCTGAAGATAGAAATCTAGAAATGATTCATGTGAAAGAAGAGAGAAAATTCAGATTTTTCAAAAATGAAAAAACTGACCAAAGGATCAGAACTGAGGTCTGAGAAATAAATCCACCTATGTATGGATGTATGGGTAGCTAACTTATGAAAAAGGAGCCAATAACAAAAATGTTCAACACAATTATAGAAATGCACATCAAAACCACAATAAGATATCATCTCACACCTATTCAATGGCTGTTTTCAAAAAGATAAGAAATAACAGGGCCGGGACCGGTTTGGCTCAATGGATGGAGCGTAGGCTTGGGGACTGAAGGGTCCCGGGTTCGATTCCGGTCAAGGGCATGTACCTTGGTTGCGGGCATATCCCCAGTAGGGGGTGTGCAGGAGGCAGCTGATCGATGACTCTCTCTCATCGATGTTTCTACCTCTCTATCTCTCTCCCTTCCTCTCTATATAAAATCAATAAAATATTTTTTTTTTTAAAAAGAAATAACAAGTGTTGAGGAGGATGTGAAGAAAACCCTTCACATGTAACTTTGTACAATTTTGGAGGAATTGTAAATTGGTGCAGCCATTATGATGCACTACGGAGTTTCCTCAAAAAATTAAGAATAGAAATTCCATATGACTCAGCAATTCCTATTTTTGGTACTCATCTAAAGAATATAAGAATATATATATATATATATATATATATATATATATACACACATATATATATAGACACTTGAGTTAAAAATGTCTATATCTGTGTGTGTGTGTGTGTGTGTGTGTGTGTGTATGTATGTTAACTGCATCATTATTTACAATAGCCAAGACTGGAAACAACCTAAGTGTCTATTAGTGAATAAATAGCTAAAGAAGACATAGTAGATAAACATGAAGGGATATTGCTCAGCCATAAAAACGATGAAATATTGCCATTTGTCACAATATGATTGAATCATAAGGGTAATCTGCTAAGTGAAATAAGTCAGACAGAAGAGGCCCCAAATCACTCATCTGTAGAATATAAAACAAAACAAAAAAAGTAATGAACTAACAAAACAAAAACAAACTCACATACAGACAATAAAATGGTTGGTTACCAGAAGGGAAAGTGGTTGGGGGAGAGGAAGATGGGGAAAGGGGGTCAAATATATCATAACAAAAGGAAACTAGACTTTTAGTGGTGAACACACAATAGAGTATACAGGTACCAAATTATAAGGTTATTCACTTGAAATTTATATAATGTTATTAACCAATGTTACTTCAATAAAAATAAATAAAATGTCTTCATAACTAAAGAACAATAATTTATATGTAATCTGAAAAACAGATAACTTATAACTCAAGTGTCAAGAATTTTTTAGGTGTTTTTTGTTTGTTTTGTTTCTATTCCTGTCAATGTACAGGGGAGAGTATATTCTCACTCTTTGCTTCATGCAGATTTAAAAAATGAACAAAGTTTTGGCTACCAAATTTAGTAAGTATATATACTGAAAAATCTAGGATTTTTCAGTATATATAACTCAACAACTTTTCTTCCCCACCTTTATAGAGGCATAATTGACGTACAAAAAGCTGCACATATTTAAAGTATATAATCAGATGCATCTGGCACATGTATGCACCCATGAAGCCATCATCACAATCAAGATGGTGAATGTATTATTCACTGCCAAGTTTCCTTGTGTTTCTTTGTGATCCCATGTCCACAATCCCTACCCCAGGCAATCACTGATCTGCATCTCACTATAGATTAGTTTTCATTTTCTAGCATTTTATATGAATGAAATCATAAAGTATTCTTTTTTGTCTTGCTTCTTTTCTTCAGTATACTTATTTGATATTCATCCAAGTTGCTGTGTGTATCAGTAGTACATTCCTTTTTACTACCTAGTAGTATCCCATTCTGTGGCTGTATCTCAGGTTATTCACCCAAACCTTTGATTTATAACTGAGCCTACTATGTCAATGAACTATGCCATCCTATAGCATGGATTCCATGAAAACTCTTGTTACTGGTAACATTGGTCAAGTCACATTTCTGAAACCAAAAAGTTAAGGGATGGATGGAGTCTCACACTGAGGATGGGACACTCCCTAGAAGGTCAGTTTCTCCAGCCTCTACATACTATCTTCCAATCACAACAGCATGGAACTGGGAATTTGTTATTTTCACTCTGTACAGCAAAAGTGTACAGCAAAGTGTCTTGATTAATAATGATTGGACTAAAGACTAATTTCTTTTCTTCCAAACCTCAACCCTTTGTTATTTCAGACCTCTAAGGGGAGCTGTAAGACATCAGTTAAGGCGGCCATTGATGTTGGGTACCGGCACATTGATGGGGCCTACGTCTACCGGAATGAGGACGAAGTGGGGGAGGCTATCAGAGAGAAGATAGCAGAAGGAAGGGTGAAGAGACAGGATATTTTCTACTGCGGAAAGGTGAGAGCTTCCCTTCACCCTCCATCCCCTCATATTAATGATGGACTAGATGTCAAGATGTTAGGGACTAATAAGTCCCTTGAAGTGGGCTTTGGGCAAAGCTCTTTCTTCATAGTTGGGCATGGATTTAAAACAATTTGCAAAGAACCAAGTCTATGGAGCAAAAATTAGGAAAGTGGAAGGAAAGGAGGAGATGGTTTATATCACAGAAGCATTTGCTGAAGTTTTCTTTAAAAGAGCCACCTTCTTTTTCTTTTGTGCCTATTTGTTCATAGATCACCAATTCTTTATTGATCTATAATTCATGTACCACAATGTTCACCATTTTGAATCAGTAATTATCAACATATTCACAAAAGTTGCATGACCATAACCACTACCTAATTTCAGAATATTTTCATCGATCTAAAAATAATCCTATGCCCACGAGCAATCACTTCCCATTTTTCCCACTCCTCAGAGACTAGCAACCATTATCTACTTTCTGTTTCCATAGTTTTCCTATTTTGGATATTTCATACAAATGGAATCGTACAATATGGCCTTTTGTGTCTAGCTTCTTTCATTTAATTACAACAAAGTCCATCCAAGTTGTAACATGTATCTTTTCATAGCCAAATAGTATCCTGTTGTATGAATATACCACCTTTTGTTTAGATCACTACCTTGTGAGCAATTTAAACTTCCAGTGTTATATACCACTATCCATTGAAGAGCATTCAGAGAGATAAAGCATCATGATTAAAATGAAAGCCAATGGGAATAAAGAATGTATATTTATAGGCAAACTTTGCAAGAATAAAGCTGTAGAACTTTAGAGAACTTATAATACAATTCTCCTGAGGAACCTAAAGAAAAAAGACACTGCTTCTGATTTCACCCTCTCCCCAGACCTCCCCTGCATCCAGCTCCCACTCAGTCTCCTTCCATGTTCTCCATTGGTTTGCAACTCTTCAAATCACCAGCCACTTATGGGTTATGATTCCAAGGGGCCACATGGAGCCACTATCCCAAAATATCAATTTGAAGCTTTCATTTTATTATAGCTTTACAGTTCTGATGCCTAAATATTTTTATTATTAAACACCCTCTCAGTAGAGTAAAACTTTAAACCCTTAAGGGGGTGCTCTCCAAATGTTTCCATATTTACTATATTCCCTTTGATATTATTTACCCCCCCATGACTATTCTGTAACTACCATTCTAATTTGTACTTCTTAATCTCTTCATGTTTTTCACAAATCCCCCCAACTCTCCTCCCATCTGACAATCATCCAAATGGTCTCTGCATCTGAGTCTATTTCTATTTCTGCTTGTTCATTTATTTTGTTTTCTAGATTACACATATAAGTGAAATCATATAACATTTGCCTTTCTCTTTCTGTCTTATGTCACTCAGCACAGTATCCTGTAGGTCCACCCATGCGGTTGCAGACAGCAAGATTTCATTTTTTTTAATGGCTGAGTCATATTCCATTGCATATATGCATCACTTCTTTATTCACTTACCTACTGATGAGCACTTGGGTTGCTTCCATACTTTGGCTATCTATACTAATTAAAGGGTAATATGCTAATTAGATTAAGAAACTTTCCAGGAGACCTTCTGGACGTCCTTCTGAGCAAAGTAAAGTCATGATGGCAGGGCCAAGGTAGAGGTGGTTAGGGGCGAAAAGGCCAGGAGGGGAGGGTAGTTGGGGATAATCAGGCTGTTGGGGGGTAGCAGATGGGAGCAAGGCTGGCAGGGGGGGCAGTTGGGAGTGATCAGGCTGGCAGGGGGGAAGTTGAGGGTAAACAGGCTGGCACGGGGGGCAGTTGGGGGTGAGCAGGCTGGTAGGCAGAGTGGTTAGGGGTAATCAGGCAGGCAGGCAGGTGAGTGATTAGGAGCCAGCAGTCCCAGATTGCAAGAGGGATGTCCAACTGCCAGTTTAAGCCCAATCCCACAGGAGTCCCAGATTGGAGAGGGTACAGGCTGGACTGAGGAATACCCTTCCCTTTCCCTTCTCCCCCTGTTCACGAATTTCATGCACTGGGCCACTAGTCTATACTAATAACAGAGTAATATGCTAATTAGACTGGGAGACCTTGTGGACAAAGCCATGGTGGTGTGCAGAGGCAGAAGCAGTTAGGGGCAATCAGACTGGCAAGGGGGGACAGTTGTGGACGAGCAGGCTGGCAGAGGGGAGCAGTTGGGGGAGAGCTGGCCAGAGGGGGGGAAGTTGGGGGCAAGTAGGCTGGCGGGGAGGAGAGAGGGGAACAGTTGTGGGTGAGCAGGCCAGAAGGGGGGGGGCAGTTGTGGGTGATCATGCCAGCATACAGAGTAGTTAGGGGTGATCAGGCAGGCAGGCAGGTGAGCAGTTAGGAGCCAGTGGTCCTAGATTATGAGAGAGATGTCTGGCTGCAGGTTTAGGCCCTATCCTACAGAGCCTAAACCAGCACTCGGACATCTACTGAGAGGTCTCAGATTGGAGAGGGTGCAGGCCGGGCTGAAGGACACCCTCTCTCCCATGTATGAATTTTGTGCACCAGGCCTCTAGTTATAAATAAAGCTGCAATGAACATATGAATACATATTATGGTACTATATTCTGATAAAGAATACTCTAAAGTGCCAAGTGTTATGTCAGCTTATCCTATACTACATAATAATTCAGCATACATATTTTTATGCAATAATATAAATGAATACAATGCATATGAAGGCCTTGTAAAGAATAGAGCTATACCCTAGCTGGTTTGGCTCAGTGGATAGAGCCTGCAGACTGAAGTGTCCTGGGTTTGATTCGGTCAAGGGCACATGACCAGATTACAAGCTCAATCATCAGAAGGGGGCGTGCAGGAGGTAGCCAAATAATGATGTTCTCTCTCCCTCTCACTTCCTCTCTGAAATCAATAAAAAATATATGAGAAAAAGAATAAAGAGCTACATTATTATTTTTTTTAAATAGTGTGAATGTTAGCTCACCATATCCTTTTTATTCTTTCAGCTGTGGCCTACGCATTTTGAACCAGAGAGGGTCCGCCCATACCTGGAGAAGACACTCAAGACCCTCCAGCTAGATTATGTTGATCTTTACATCATTGAAATGCCCATGGCTTTTAAGGTGAGTTCAGACACCTAAAGGTTTGGCCTCCGCTCGATGGCAGACACGAGCCAGCAGCCATGTGCATGAAGCTAGTTCATTACTTAGCACCACAGAATGTTATTGTTTTGTTACTGTGGGTCAGGCAGCACTGACCTAGCCTAACAAATGCCCAGAAAGACTATGAGTAGCAAACTCAGGCTTGGATCCCATGTTTCTTGATTCCTAATCCAATGCACTTTTTATTATAGAACATCTTTACAATTGTAGTTTAAGCTGTCCATCAAACCATCAAGTAGTCCCCAAATAGTAGTCCATATTGTAACTGTCCAGCATTTAGACACATCCTTTTTCCCACTCACATAGTCATGACAATGTTCCTGCATGAAGAAATGCAAAATAATGTAGACAACTGAAAACTTACCTTCCACTGCTCCAAGGGACATAACTGAAAGAATGGTCAGGTTTTTGGGGGATCAGCAACAACATCATGGTGATAGCTCTTCCTCTAGTTCAAATGTACTTCTTCCTTAAACTTTCTCAATCTATAGACTCTGTTAATTTAACCACCAACAACACATCCCATATACACTGCTGAAGAGAAGTTACTGCTTTAAAATGTCTCTGAGGAAAGAAGAGACTGAAAATGAAACTGGTCACTTGTGTGTGAGGCAAACCAGAGCTTGCTGCTCAGAAGAACAAGGACTCTCTGTCATTGAGGTGGCCAGATTTCCTTTACACAAGCAACCTGCTGCCCCTTTTCTGTTCTCTGGAAGCTGTTTGCGTGATGACTCTTCTCTGTAGTCACATCCAAGAGGGACTTGGGGAAAGATTCCCCTTTTGCATCCTACTTCATGTAGATAGAAGTTTTCAGGTTTCACAATGGCCTTGGTGAATCAAAGGCTTTTAATGGTCAGTTTGGGATTTCACAGACATAACAATATCCCTTAACATTTTCCTAGGCTACAGAACCAAGGTGCCTAGTTTGAATCCCAGCTCTGTCACATGTGAACCAGATGACTTGGTCAAGTTTTTACATATCACCTAAACATGGCCCAGTGGAAAGAGTACCGACTTCAGAATCACACGGAAGAGAGACTGACTTTCATCTTTATTACTTTCTAGTGGCCCATTGCATGAAATTTGTGCATGGAGGGTGTTTCTCTCAGCCCAGCCTGCACCCTCTCCAATTGGGGACTCCTTGGGGAATGTCCAACTGCCAGTGTAGGCCTGATCCGGCAGTCAGACGTCCCTCTCACAATCCTGGATCACTGGCTTGTAATTACTCACCTGATTGCCCCTAACTTCCCCCCATGCTGGGCTGGTAGCCCTCAACTCCCCCTTTGGCTGGCCTGGTCACCCCCAACTGCGCCCCCTCCCCTGCCAGCCTGATTGCTCCACACAGCCTACTGTTCAGTTGTTTAGTCATCCCTCAATAACCCCCCTGCCAGCCTGGTTGCCCCAAACTTTCCCTATCCTCGCTGGCCTTGTTGCCTCTCACTGCCCCCCCTCCACCCACTGGCCTGGTCACCCAACATAGCCTGATGTTCATCGTCTGGTCATCCCTCACTAACCCCCCTGCAGGCCTGGCTTTAGGCAGCCATTCTGTGAGAGCACGAGGGTTAATTTGCATATCACCTTTTTATTATATAAGATTAGCATCGAGTCTTTGATATTCCTGAACTTCCCTTCAATTTCATTATTGGTAAATTAGAGATAATAACTCACTTGCTTAGTATTGTGAGGAATCATTAAAATTATGTGAAATTACTGACACAATGCCAGACATTTCATAGATAATATAAAAATAATATTATGAAATGATCCGGTGGAAATATATATTCCAATATATAGAATATTTTCAATTCACAAAAGAAGAAGTTGAGGCCCTAGACAATGAAATAGCCTACTCAGGTTTAAAATCCATCAGAACTGGGATCAGATCCTAAATACCCTGTTGCCATTCCCATATTTGTTCTCCAACAATAGAGAGTCCCTTCTGCCTTACTTTTTTTAAATGATGAATGGCATTTTAAAAAAATAAACGAAGTTACTGATAACAGGAATGAGAATCAACAGCATAGGTTTTTAGAGGGTTGAATTATTCTTCTAATAATGTCTTCAGTAGGAGCAGGAGTGGAGGGAGAAAGATCATCGAATGATTCAGATAAGGGGTGAGTAAAGTAGGCACAATGGAAGCTTAAGAGGAACATGCTTAAGAGAAATGGCTAACATAGATTCAAGGGTGATAAGGACTTAAAGTCTTGGAAAGTAAAAAGTATTTAACACGGTATATGACAAAAGCATAAAACCATTCCAAACAGAAGTAAAATTGAAGGGAGACTGGAGTGGAAATGTGGGCCATAGTGTCAAGAAGTTTAAAGAGCTTGGGAAGCAGAGACAGAAAGGGTTATTAACATGAATGATGATGTGGCATTGAGACTAAGGAGCCTTTTTCCTGCTGTAAATGAAACAGGAGGAAACTGAGTCAAAATTGTGTTGGCTAAAGAAAATGTTATCATCAGGGGAAAATTTTGTTCAGATGAGATAGTGGATGGGAGGAAAAAAAAAAAAAAAGGTTTTCTAAATATAATGAATTTTGCCTTAGCTGATTTGGCTCAATGGATAGAGCATCAGTTTGCAGACTGAATATACGATTCCAGACAAGGGTACGTGCCTGGTTGCGGGATCGATGCCTAGGTGGAACATGCAGAAGGCAGCCAATCAATCATTCTCTCTCATCATTAATGTTTCTATTTCTCTTTCCCTCTCCCTTCATCTCTGAAATCAATAATATAAGAAGATAATAATAAAAATAATAAATTTTGTCCAATTGCTTGATTTTCAATAATAATTCCTAATATCAAGGTCTACAAAGACTTGTAGGCTGACAACCATACCCAATAGACACTATATCCTCATTTTATTGATAACTTTCAACACAGTTGACCACTATCTCCTGCACACATTTTCTTCTTGTGACTTCCATAATACCACTAATTCCTTGATTCTTTGGCATCTTCTCTGCCAACCTCCAAATGTTATGCCCAGAATAGTTCCTCTGTTCTCAATATTCTTGTCTTACTGAGCCACACTGTGTCTATAAGTGACCTCATATAGTTTCAAGGATTGAATACTATTTTATATGTAAGGGCTACCAAATTTTGTCTACAGCCATGACCGCTTTCTGAGCATCTTTCTGAGACTTCTCTATTCAATTGCTTCCTCAAATAACCACTTGAACATTTGGTCACTTCAAACTCAAAATATTCATTAAAAAAAAACCCTCTTGATTGCTAACCCAAACTCAGGAAATGATTACCACCATTCATCCCAGGAGCATATGAATCATCTTTCATTTCTCTCTCTTCCATTTTCAAGCCCATAAAAAAATGAGTCCTATGTTCAGATAGAACCAAAAAGGAGAAATCTGAAAGACAATGTTCCATACCAGTTAGCCTTAGTTGGGAAAGGATCATCCAAAAACCAGGGGAGGGAAGTTGACACTAACTAATGTGTGAAGTAGGGAAAAAAATTGCTGAACACCTGGAGGGCCTCAAAATAAAAATAAAAAATAAAAATAAAAACAGTGAGCAAGTGTGAAAGAACTGAGAGCACACTGTGCTCTCCTCAACTGTCAAAACACTGAGTCTAAGAGTCCTAATTCTCAACCTCTACTCTTTTTTGATGAGTAAATCTGTCATTAAAAGAAAAGTTTTGCCGAAACCGGTTTGGCTCAGTGGTAGAGCGTTGGTCTGAGGACTGAAAGGTCCCGGGTTCGATTCCGGTCAGGAGCACGTACCTTGGTTGTGGGCACGTCCCCGTAGGGGGTGTGCAGGAGGCAGCTGGTCAATGTTTCTCTCTCATCGACGTTTCTAGCTCTCTCTCTCCCTTCCTCTCTGCAAAAAATCAATAAAATATATTTTTTTTTAAAAAGAAAAGAAAAATTTATGGATTAAGAATAAGGATAATCTGTTGATAAATAAATGAAAAATGAATGCCAGTATAGAATAATAGGATTACTGTGTCACATGTTTTAGAAAAATGAAAGAATTTCTGACAGTCCTTCCAAGGTGAGAAATATATAAAAATATAATGTATACTAACAAATAATTATACTTTTATTGCTTTCCTAAGGCTAGAGTATATTGGCATAAAGACAATTCAAATTCCATCATTTCAATTCTCAGATATAAACAACAGAATTATCCTTTTTTGTTTGTTTTTTCTTTTTTAGCCTGGAGATGAATTCTATCCTAGAGATAAGTATGGCAATTGGTTATATCACAACACAAATTTGTGTGCCACTTGGGAGGTAAGTTCAAATGGGCCTTTTATTCTTTTATTTTAAAAGACTACGTTTTTTAATTGTGACCTCATTACTCCTGTTTGATTTAGTAGGAAGAGATGCAGCCTTTACTCTCCCAGGGAATATACTCTAAAAAGTACACTATCTCTTTCTAATGGGTGTCCCCCTCTAGGTAACAGTTGAAGACCTGAAGGGTAGAGTTGTTTTTAGGGGTGAGGAAGCAGCTACTAGTTTCCTGGTCCCTGGGGCTCTCTACCCGAGAGAACATATACTCATTCCTATTGTCATCGGAGTTGAGTAGATTTGGTATTTCCATCTAAGGGTTTGCCTGACAGGGTAGCCAGTATCCCCAGGAGAAAATAGCTCATAGCTCAAAATAACAAGGTATTTATTTCATAAGGAAACAACATATCTCAATTACAGATCCCAACATAAACAGAAGACCAAGAACTTTTAAATTAGCCAAATAATATATTAAAAGAGATAAGAAAAGATACTAGTAATGTGAAACAAGAACAAGAAAACATTTTTTAAAAAACAAGCATTAAGTAAGTAATAATTAGAAAAAATAAAACATAATGCAATAGATGGCATAAAAGTGAAATGGATATACATAAGGAAAAAATGGAATCAAATTGAAAGATCAGAATAAGGAAATCTACCAATATGAAGTAGGAAAAGACAAGAAAAAAATAAATATGAAAGAAAAACAAAGAGATATACAGGATACAGTTAGAATTTTCAGAACTCACATAATAGAAAAATAAGAAAGAAAAAAAGAGGAAATATTTGAAGGAGAAGAAAACCAAGATATTGAAAAGGCATAGATTATCAAAGAGGGAAGAGAAGGAAACCCTAACCTAGACACACTATGGAGAAATTTAAGAATATCAAATATAAAGAAAAAATATTAAGGCTTTCAGAGCATAGCAAGTAAACCAATAAATAAGATAAAATGGGGGTAATAAAAGATAATCCAAGAGAAGGCAGGAAAAGAAAAACAGAAGGAAAATTAATAGGTAGGGAAATCAAAAACAAATGGGAAATTTAAACTCAGTGGTATCAATAGTCACAGTATATATACATAGTTGAAACAATACAGTTAAAAGGCAAAGGTTGTCAGAATGGACAAAAAGCAAAACCCCATTATATATTATATACAAGAAACCCACTTTAAATAAAAACATATAAATATGTTTAAAGTCAGAGGTTAAAAAGGAGAAAAAAAAACAGGAAAAATATACTAGGCCAACAAAAAGAAAGCAGGAGTAGTTATTTTAATATCAACAATGATTTTGGTGCAGAATATTACCAGGAATAAAGAAGTTTGTTTTATAATAAAAAAGTAATAAAATCCTAAACATCTATTCACCTTATAACAGAACTCCAAAAATACATAAAGCATAAACTAAGAAATCTGAAAAGGAAAAGACAGTAAAAGAATCAATCATATATAATGAGATTGGTATCAATTTTGTTTTGATTGGTTCTGTTTTATTAGCAGCAGCACAGGGTGTAAAAGAGATAAAGAACAGTATTTTCAAAATATTGAAGAATAAAGAACATTGAACTTTATATCCAGTCAAACTGTAAAACAAAAATGATGTATGATAAAAATATTGTGTAATCTATACATTGCTCAGAAGTTTTGCCCCATAAAGACCAATATTGAAAACTATCCTATATAATAAAAGTCCAGCAACTGAAACAGAGGAATGATCAGAATGACCAGAGACCAGAACAACCATGGCCCTTCACCACGGCCGGCCCGCCACCCAGCTGGGACCCCCATCCTGATCCAGGGCTCCCATCAGAGCAATCTGGCCAGCCCCACCCATGCACCAGGCCTCTATACTACATAATAAAATATGCAAATTGACCCTAATGGCGGAATGACTAGAACTTACCACTCAAGCAGTCATTATGAGACACATTGACCACCTTTTGGTCTGTTTCCCTGGCTGGCAGGCTCTGATTCCCTGATGGTAATGGAAAACCGGGGGTGGGTGGCAGGGGATGCAGATGGCGCCAGGCCAAGGACCCCGCCTCATTAGTCACCCTACACACAGAGGGCAACCCGTGGCAGGGGCAGGGCCAGTGAGCAGGTGGAATGGCCAACATCTCAATTCTACCAACAGGCTCCAATCACCCAATGGTGAACCGAGACCTGGCTGTAGGCAGCCTGGGAAGATGGCTCTGATCATAGGACAGGCCTAGGGACTGTACCCATACATGAATTTCATGCACTGGCCCTTTTGTTACTAAATAAGAGAAGCAAAAATTTAAAAGATGCTCCAAGAAGTGTACAAAGTGAAAGTGATCAAATCAAACTTGATATAGTTTTTATTACCTATAAAACTATCCAATATTAAATAAGAAGAGAAAAATATACCTATAATAATAAGAAGTTAAATTTTATATAGACTATTAACATCATAGATGTTAGGGGCGGGGTAAATCAAGAAATATGGGAGCATGTAAGTTCTTGTCTTTATTAAAGGAAAAATAAAGATACAAACTTTTAAAAGTAAGAGAGGATTAAAAAGAAACAAAAGTGGGAAAACTGAAATAGGAAATTAAGATGGTAGAAACAGTACAAATATATTTATAGTTGCAATAAATATGGACTAAATTCACTACTAAATACAAAGATTTACAGATTAAAATTAGACATATCTAAGCATAAAGACATGTGAAAGTTAAAATTTAAAGGATGGGAAAAATCTTATCAGTCTGATACTTACCAGAAAAAGTTATGTAGTTATATTAATATCTGACAACATAGTCTTTTTCTGTGTTTTTTAATCTTTATCCGAGAGCACATTTATTTATATTTATTTTTAAAATTGATTTCAGAGAGTAGGGAGAGAGAGAGGGAGAGAGAAATCAATAATGAGAGATAATCATTGATTGGCTGCCTCCTGCATGTCCTCTATGTGGGACTGAGTCCACAGTCTGGGCTGTGGCCTGACTGGGAATCAAACCATGGTTCATGGGTCAGTGCTCAACCACTGAGCAACAAAGGCTAGTCAGACAACATAGTCTTAAAAACCAAAAGCATTATTAGGGATGGAAAGATTCCACATCATGATAAAAGATTAAATTTACCAAGAAAATATACCAATTTACTATTTTTTTAAGAATGTTATTTTGTAATATATTTTTATTGATTTCAGAAAAGAAAGGAGAGGGAGAGGGAAAGAGACAGAAAGGCATTAGTGATAAGAATCATTGATCAGCTGCCTCCTGCAGCACCTAGTGGGGATCAAGTCCACAACTCCGTCATATGCCCTGATCAGGAATCAAACTGTGATCTCCTGGTTTATAGGTCCAGGCTCAACCACTGAGCCATGTCAGCTGGGCAAGATATATCAATTTTAAACAAATATGTGTCCAATAAAATATCTGCATAATATATAAAGCAAAAATTTGGAAAACATTTAAAAAGGAATACATGAAAACATAAATCCTCTATCATAGTGGAAGATTTCTGATGTATTCCTTTAAATTATTGAGAGGCCAGGAAAAGCTAGACCTAAAATTATATATAATGTGTGTATATGTGTGTGTACACATCCATATATGTATGAGAGAGAGTGAGAGACAGAGACAGAGAGAGAGATTTGCATCCCAAAATAGGAGAATATACATTTTACACATATCAGACACCTAACGAAACTTGATTAGGTACCATAACATAAAGAAAGTCTCAACAAATTTCAAGAAATAAGATTGTTATATACATTACAGGGGGGGGGGGATATGTTATACAATGCTCCTCAAATTCAATCACATGATTCCTGTTGTCTCCCCCTTCCTCTCCTCCCCCCCACAGAATGACTATTGACATACCTATGGACTTTCCTTTTTAAATAATTTATACTAACCCTATAAATATTCATTCTTACTTATTTTGAGACTTCCATCTTGATTCTTTGGCATTTACTCTACAGGCTTTGGAAGCTTGCAAAGATGCTGGCTTGGTAAAATCTCTTGGCGTATCCAATTTTAACCGCAGACAGCTGGAGCTAATATTAAACAAACCAGGACTCAAATATAAGCCAGTCTCCAACCAGGTACAGTCTGACAAGAGGGTGGGATTTGGCAAGGAATTACAATGTTTACTTGACATGAAGATTAAGAGAGTTTTGTGGTCACTCTATATAAGACCCTGGGCAAGTCTTTTAACTTCTCTCAACTTAAGTCTCTATCAAATATATTTTTATTGATCCTAGAGAGGCAGAGAGGAGGGAAGGGGGATGGATGGAGAGAGGAAGGGAGGCAGGGAGAGAGGAAAGAATGGGAAGAGGGAGGGAGGGGGAGGAAAGAATGGAAAGAGGGAGGGAGGGAAAAAGGAGAGAGGGAGGGAGGGAGGGAGAGAGGGAGGGAGGGAGAGAGAGGGAGGGAGGGAGAGAGAGACGGAGGGAGGGAGGGAGGGAGGGAGGGAGGGAGGGAGGGAGGGAGGGAGGGAGGGAGGGAGGGAGGGAGGAGGGCCAACACAAAATTTCTTGTGCAGCCATTTACCTTGGGCTATGACAGAGGGAGGGCAGAGTGGACTGGAGCTATGTAAGGAGAGTCTTTGGTTGGGAGCTCTGGGTTGGAGCTCAGAGATCAGCCACCCCAGTTTCCTGTGCTGAGTCATTCCCTCACACTGCAGAGGACATCTTTCTTCTCTATACCTTTGCTATACAGGCAGTTTTTGCTTAGAGGGAAGGCAGTTACGCAATCCTTTTGAAAGATCTCTCACCCTACCTGTGGTCTATAGCCTGAGGCAAATTAAGACTGAGAATAACTGCAGGCAGATTCTGGGCCCAATACTAGGAAAATCAGAACTTGGCTCACAACTTGGTTCTTTTCAAAGGCACCAAGCCCCAGCAGAGGGAGCCATCAGCTATGGATTGCTGATAGCTTCAAACAGGGAAATCGGGGCCAGTAAGAAACAGTATCTGACAATGTCCTGCACTAGAGATCGGGAGTCATAGCAGATATACCTAATACATAGACACAAACTCAAATAGGCAGCCCAAATGGTGATAGACAAAAATACTGCTCTAAAATGAAAGGACAAGAGAATACTCCAAGAAGAAGAGCTAAATGAAATGGAGATGATAAATTTATCAGATATAGAATTTAGAATAATGATGGCAAGAATGCTCAACAGCATGAGAAAAGATATAGTAACTATGAAAAAAGACCCAATAGCAAATAAAGAATGGCATAGCACAAATAAAGAACACACTGGAAGGAATACACAGCAGATTAGGGAAAGCTGAGGATCAAGATCATTGAATTAGAAGATGGGGTAGAAAAAAAATCACTCAATCAGAGAACCAAAAAGAAAAAATATTTCAAAAACAAAATCCAACACCCATTTTTGAAAAACACTCTCAGCAAAGTGGGAATAGAGGGAGTATATCTCAACATGATAAAGGCCTTATATGACAAACCTACAGCAAACATCATACTCAATGGGCATAAATGAAAACCAATTCCCCTAAGAATAGGAATAATGTACACTTTTCACTCTTATTCAACATAGTACTAGAAGTCCTAACCACAGCAATAAGATAAGAAAAAGAAATAAAAGGCATCCAAACCAGACTCTCATTATTTGCAGATGACATGCTATTGTACATAGAAAACCCTAAAGACTCCACTGAAAACTACTAACTACTAGATTTAATATATGAATTTGGCAATGTAGTTGGGTATAAAAATAACACCCAGAAATCGATGGCATTTTTATACACCAATAATGAATTCTCCAAAAGAAAACTAAACAAATAATTTCATTTATTTTGCAACAAAAAAGTTAAGATACTTCAGAATAAACTTAACCAAGGAGGTAAAAGACCTGTACTCAGAAAACTAAAGGACACTGAAAAAAGAGATAAAAGAAATATAAACAACTGTCTTCCCCCTGGTGGTCAGTGCACATCATAGTGACCAATCATTCTGCCATTCGGTCATTTGCATATTAGCCTTTTATTATATAGGATAACTGAGTCTGTTCACTTCAAGTTTGAAACTATGATAGGGACACAAAATTGAAATTGTTTCTCAATTATTTTAGAATTACCCACAGATGGTCCCCTCACTAACTTTCTTTTAATTAACCTCACTAGTATTTAAACAGTGTTAAGTTTCTTTGTTAGTAAAAATATTTAGGATTCATCTCATTATCTATCCATAATACTTTTAAATGAATTTCATTTCAGGATTTTTTTAAAACTACATAAAATTGCATTCATCTACAAGGCCTTAATTTTGTGCTCTGCTCTCCAATACAACCACATAGGTGGAGTGCCATCCATATTTCACCCAGAGGAAACTCCTAGAATTTTGCCAGAAACATGACATTGTCATTGTCGCATATAGCCCTTTGGGGACCTCTAGGAACCCATTGTGGTAAGTATGCTGTACATCTCTACAGGAAATGTTTTCTTTGATGTAGAGTATTAAGTTAATGTGAATTATTTGATTGAAATGATTCTATTGTGCTGTGTAATCTTTAAAAAAGTTACTTAAACTCTTCAGGTCATTCTCCATATATCCAAGTTGAACTAACAAAATCTTCCTCACTTAGATGTTATAAGAATTGATTATACTATACTAGAGGTCCAGTGCATGAAAATTCATACGCGGGGGGGGGGGGGGGGATCCCCTCAGCCCACCCTGCCCCCTCTCACAGTCCAGGAGCCCTCAGGAGCCAAGGCTCAAGTAAGCAGGGCCAGCCCAGGCTTGCACTGCTGGCAATGGCAGCAGCAGAGGTGTGATGGGGGCGTTGCCTTCTCCTGATCACTGGGGGGAGAGGGTTCCCCTCAGCCTGGCCTGCACCCTTGGGGGATGTCAAACTGACAGCTTGGCGCTGCCACAGAGGCAGGAGAGGCTCCTGCCACCACCACTGCGCTAGCCAGCCATGAGCCCAGCTTCTGGATAAGCAGTGCTCCCCCAGTGAGAACTCATTGACCATCAGGGGGCAGCTGCTCTGAGCAGCTGCCCCCTAATGTTCAATGCATGTCATACAGACTGGTCATTCTTCCATTTGGTTGATTTGCATATTAGCCTTTTATTATATAGGATGTATGAAATTACCTAACAGTGCTCTACAAATGTCAGTTTAGGTATTATTTGATAGAGTCTCTATGACCTATCTTCTGAAATTTTAGAATTTTTTTTTTTATTCAATGGCAACACTTCTACTGTGATGTGTTCCACAGACCAAAGTGGAAATTTTTCTACTCTAATATTTGTACCTCTACTTTTTCCACTTGGGGCTTCCTGCCTTCTCACATATGCCTTCTTTCAGCCCAGCCCTCTCTATAAGACACATCAAAACGTATTTACTTTCTCAAAAAGGCATCAATATAAACTTTCCTCTCTTGATCTTCTCACACTAAGAATAACTCTTCATTGAGGACTCTGCAATCACAGAAATTGCTTACAGATTACCTGAAATGTCCTGGTAGGTTACCAGGTGAATGGGAAGACAGAGGAGGAGGAGTGATTAACCCTGCTTCTCATTGATCTAGCTAAATATCATGCATGTTTTTATTTTTTTAAGGGTGAATGTATCTTTGCCACCTTTGTTAAATGATGAACTTCTAACCTCATTGGGGAAAAAGTATAATAAGACTGCAGCTCAGGTTGCTTTACGTTTCAACATCCAGCGAGGGATAGTTGTTATTCCTAAAAGCTTTAACCCTGAAAGGATCAAAGAAAACTTTCAGGTAAGAGAACTGCTTCTGAAAATGTAAAAAGTAGGGTATTTTTTATTTAAAGAATTTTCTGTTTAGATTAGTAAGAAACTTGTAATACCTTCATATTTTATTTTATACCAGCTCTCTGACCCACTCTGCTCATATCTGCATTTAATTTTAGCTGAATTTGAGACAATTGCTAGCACTTTGGGGACTGCTTTGCTGATTTTATTATACACTTACTTCAGAGATACAGTATTGTGGGTACTATTCCAGACCATCACAGTAAAGCATGAATTGCAATAAAGTCACACAAATCTTTTGCTTTCCCAGTAGATATAAAAGTTTTGTTTACACTATATTGTAGTCTATTAAGTGTGCAGTAGTTATGTCTAAAAAAGTGTATATACTTTAATTTAGAAATACTTTATGTAATAGTCTAAATCCTCTGTTGTCATTTCAGCAATATTGACAGCATATTCGCCAGAAGTAGGTTTCATCTCAAGAAACCACTTTCTTTGCTCATCCATAAAAAGCAACTCCTCATTCATTCAATTTTTTCATAAGCAATTCAGTCAGATCTTCAGGCTCCACTTCTGATTTCTAGTTCTCTTGCTATTTCCACAGCATTTGTGATTACTTCCTCCACTGAAGTCTTGAACCCCTCAAAGTTATCAATGAGGGTTGGAATCAACTTCTTCCAAACTCCTGTAATATTGATATTTCATTCCTTTTCTCATGAATCAGGAATGTTCTTAATGGCATCTAGAATGGTGAATCCTTTCCAGAAGATTTTCAATTACTTTGCCCAGGTCCACCAGAAGAATCCCTACTGATGGCAGCTATTGCCTTATAAGATATATATATAAAAAGATATATATATATATATATCTTTTTAATATATTTGTATTGGTTTCAGAGAAGAAAGGAGAGTGAGAGAGATAAAAGCATCTACGATGAGAGGGAATAATTGATAGGCCGTCTCCTGTATGCTCCACACTGGGGATCAAGCCAGCAATTTTGGCATGTGCCCTGACCAAAATCGAACCTGGGGCCCTTTAGTCTGCAAGCCAACACTCTATCTACTGAGCCAAACCAGCTAGGGCTGACATATAATTCTTAAATAATAAGATTTGAAAGTCAAAATTACTCCTGGACCTATAAGCCGCAGAATGGATGTTATGTTAACAGGCCCGAAAAAAATTAATATCACTGTACATCTCCATCAGAGTTCTTGAGTGACTGGGTAACTGTCATATTTTGAAGTAAATTGATTGTTTTTCTGAACAGATGTCCATAGTGAGCTCAAAACATTTATCAAATCATGTTGTAAACAAATGTGCTGTCATCTCAGCTTTGTTTATTTAGCATAAATCTTAAAATTCTAAATTTTCAGAATGGCAAATTGAGGATTTGCTTCAATTTAAAGTCACTAACTGCATTAATCCCTAAGAAGAGAAGTCATCCCTATTCTCGTGCTGGAGATGAGGTCATGTGACAAACAGCCTTACTAGGTGGTAGAAGGGAAGTTCATAAAAGGAAAAAAAGTGGTTCTGTTATTAGCAAAGAGAGGAAAGAATGCTAGACAGTTGTATCAACTATTGACAGTATTTTAACACTTACCAAAAATACCTCATAGTAAAAAAGTCTGACACTGTTTTCAGCCATCTAACGAGAAAAAGAGAATCACTGAATGACTAATGTGTAGACTCATCAAAAATTAAAAAAATAAAAATAAAAAAATTTTGAAGTACGTAAAACAAATGTGTGCATGTATTCAAAATTCTACTGTTCAGGCCAGCCAGTATGACACAGTGATTGAGCATTTGATCTATGAACCAGGAGGTCATGGCTCAATTCCTGGTCTGGGTCCATGCCTGGGGTTTTGGGCATGATCCCCAGTAGAGGGCATGCAGGAGACAGCCAATCAATGATTCTCTCTCATCATTGATGTTTCTATCTCTGTCAACATTCCTCTCTGAAATTAATTTTAAAAATATACTTTTTAATGATGAGAGAAATGTTTGAGAGACAAAGCAAAGCAAATTAAAAGGTTTTTAAAAGTACAAAAGCAAATTTAGAGACAAGAGATTATTTTTTAAGTGTAAACAGGCTCCAGTCCAGAATCAAAAGTTCAGCATCTTATGCAGAAATAATAAGAATTCTTCAATCTTGGGATTTCAGATGTCCTGAATATACGTTTTCACAGCATTTGGAATTCTTACAGGATGCCCCCAACAGAACTGTTTTAAGACAAAGCGCAGAAAAGAATTCCTGCTCCACATCCATTAGGTCCCAGCGCTAATGCAACTCCTCTTAGACATTTGCAGAGATGTTCATAAATCTTTGAAGGATTCCAACTGCTGTCCCCACTTCTGATCCCAAGCTTGACCCATTTTCTATCATTATAAATATCAATCTTTTATTTCTGTTATTTCAGGTCTTTGACTTTTCTCTTACTGAAGAAGAAATGAAGAGCATCGAAGCCTTGAATAAAAATGTCCGCTTAGTGGATCTGCTCTTGTGAGTTCTGGGAGATCCTTAATCGGGTACCACCCAGTGTGGTATTAGATTGTCAAGTGTCACCAAGAGGGCTCTTATGAACCTGGACCTATATTCCCAGAAAGCACAAGGCTAAAGGCCACTGGGCAGCATATTCTGAATATTAAATTGGTCTGGGTAAATTACTAGTACATTCGTTCTAGGAACTCCCTTCAAATCTACAAGTTTATTTAAAAGGTGATTTCTGGCATTTACATCCCATCCCATGATAAGTTAAGGCATGGCAGGCTAAAGACCTTAAGAAGAATTTAGTCACGTGTACAAATAATGAGATTCAAATTAATCCAATTGCATCACAATTATTCAGATACCAGTTGTATTTCTTTACAAAAATCAAAATAATGCAGGAATTGGAGCAAAGTTATCAACAAAAGACAATTCCTGGGTCAAAGACATGAGAATGTAGTAGAAAGAGCATCAAGTTGAGAGCCAAGAAATTAGTTTTATTCATGTTATTGACACTATTAGAGATACTACTACCCCGCTTTACCCACCCAGTCCCAGACCGCCCCCATCCTCTCTCTGGCCATCACCACACTGTTGTCTATATCCATGGGCTATGTATATATGTTCTTTGACTAAACCCTTTACCTCAAGAAATTAGTTTTAGATGAATGCTCACCTATAAGATTTGAAGCTTCTAGCTCCACCAGCTAGCTCCATCCATTCACAAATAAAATTCCTTCACTCCTTCAAAGGTTGCCAAATTCAGCTAATTCATGAGGTAGCTCTTTATTCTCCAGATATTACGGGTCCTTGAAAATAAAAAGAGAATATACACACATGTTGTGTCATTCTTTATTAGTATTTCCAGTTCTTCAGATTACCTGGATAGTTATCTTTTTTTTCAATCCTCTCTTTAAGTGAGCACTGATAAATGCTCATTAAAATAGTTCCAATATTTTGGACACTTTGGGCCCCACTTTATTTCAAGAGTCAGAAACTGTTGTGACTGTGTTAATGTCAAATTTCTGAATCTATTTCTGAATAAATAAAACAGCTTGCTAATGTGAAGTTTCTAGGGGAAAAATTATCAACATCAAAAAATACCACCTAATCTCAAGAATGAAAGAGTAAACAAAAACTTGGAAATAAAAGCATATAAATATGAAGATAAATTATTTCTATTGAATAAATATCATTCAATTAAGAGAGAGTAGGATGTAGTCAGTCCACCAATGAACTGATTTTTTTTTTCAGACAGTTGGAGATATTTTGACATTTGACATACTTAATATGGAGTTCTAGAAACACTGAAAAAGTAACTCATCATATCAGGTATAGAAAAATTATCAAGAAACAAAAATTAGGCTTCATGAGTTAAAAAAAAAAAGAAAAAAGTATTATTTAAGCACTTTGGGCCATGATTTCTTTTTGGTTTTTATCTAGTTAATCCTTGACTAGATTTCACAGCATTTTTCTCTTTTAATTTATGTTTTACTTTAATTTTTAATTAAATCTTTATTGTTAAAAATATTATATATGTCCCCTATCTTCCCCATTAACTCCTTCCAGCCTGCCCTCGGGCCCCATCCCAAGCCATCACTACTCTATTGTCTGTGTCCATGTACTAGTATATTTTAATTGAAAGCTCATAGTACTTGTAGAGAACTGAGTCTTAGATGTGCTCCATCACAGGCAACACACACACACACACACACACACACACACACACACACTCATACTCCAATCCTTTTACACCATTGCTATTTAAGAGGTAGGTTCATCATCATCACTGTCATCATAATAGCAGAAACTTCCTTTGCTGGTCATCACCTTCTAGATTTCAAATTATCAACTCTCGGGAGGCTTAATTGGAAGGTCGAGGAAGCACTGTCCGGAGAAGAGGGTGACCGTGATTGGTGACACAGCTGTGAAGAGAAGTCCTATGTCGCTTATTGACACAGGAGGCAGCCTCTATCAGGACAGCAGGAGGGAGGGAGGAGTTGGAAAGAGGCAGGCTTCCCTCACCTCCTGTGTTTTTGTTCTGAGCAAAATGTTGGTGTCGAAGCAGCCAGCCCCCTCCATGCCCAAACACACACTGAAACCCAGGTGCTCTCCAGGGCTCTAGTAAAAGTGCTGGCTTCATGGAAAGTGGGAGGAGGTGGGTAAGAAACCTAAGGAATGATTCAGAGAGAGGGAGTGGTCAGTGAAGTTGTCAGAAGATGCTAGTAACACATACAGCTGTGCGACTTTGGAATGAAGGTTTTCCCTTGTTTTGGCAGGTGGTCTGATCATCCCGAATACCCATTCCATGAAGAATACTGACTTCAGAGAGCTCTGCACTTATTTTTCCGTGTGTGTGTACCACCACCTTTGGCTGATTGCTTCCCACACATGAGGAAGTGAAAAGGGTTTTTACTATCCTCAGATGCAAGTGGTGATGGGCTTAACTTCTGTATAAGAGAAGTGACTTTGACTTAGCTATGTTGAAGGGGGGAAAAAGTTTACATCTATTGAAATAATAGTTTGGAATTAAATAATTAAATTGTCAGCAAAGCCATAATGATTTGGTGATTGTGTGTCTCCATCATTTTTTATTCATTTTACCCAGCTTTAGGGATGGATAACTGCTCGTTTTCTCTTGCACACTTTAAAGGGCCTGGGCTTCAACATAACTGTTGATCCATACTTACTGCCTATCACTCCTTCTCCCATGTATCATACAACCAGCATTATGCAAAATGGCTTGAGACTATCAACATACACAAATAAAACCCTGTATTGTAAGACAGTCCAAAAATAACTATTTTAAAAGAAGGCTTTCAAAAGTGTACTGAAAAAAGCTTTATAAAATTTTTAAAGTGTTACTGGGATAATTGTGTCAATTTCAATGTAGCAAGTTTCAAAAATTACTGGTAATTTTACTCTAAGTTTTTTTTCAAGTGAATAAGAATATTAGAATTCTGCAAGAGAAATATATCTGTTTTCAATTCAACTAAAGCAATATATTTTACTCATTCATCGAAATTCAATTCAATTGAAAAAACCTTGACTTAAGTTCCTTTGCACATTTAGCACTGAGAAGAGAGGGAAGAAAAAGGAGAACAGAGATGAAAAGAAAAGAATAGAAATTTGAGTCCTGATCTCTATTGTCAAATTCCCTCATAGTATTTTGAGGGATCTGGGGTGGGAGAGGAACCATACCTATCAAATCATTTTTTAAAAATGATTTCTAGAAAGGAAGGGAGAGGAGGAGAGAGAGAGAGAAACATCAGTGTGAGAATGAAAGACTGATCAGCTGGCTCCCACATGTCCCCTAATTTGGGAAAGAGCTGCAACCCAAGCATGTGCCCTAACAGAGAATTGAACTGATGACCTCTTGTTCAAGGGACAAAGTTCAACCAACTGAGCCATACCAGCCAGGACTCAAACCATTCTTTAAAAACAGGCATTGGAAAAATATCCCCACCATTACTAAGGGAAAAAAATATAAATTTCTAAAGATTGGAAGAGGGGAATCCTCAGTCATAACAGAGATGCTGGGGACAGAAAACAGGTAAGTCAGGAAAGACTGAAGGTCTGATACGGGCTTTTGCATGTCATTTCTCCCTCCACCCTCAGTCCTTTCAAGCTTCCCATTTATTTTGGAGTGACTTGTATCCCCAAAAGTTATATATTGAAGTCTTAGCTCCCAGCACCTCACAATGTGACCTTATTTCAGATTAAGGTCACTGCAGATGATGAGGTTGTTAGGGTAGACCCTAATCCAATATGACTGGTATCCTTATTAAAAGGGGAAATTTGGACACAGATGCTCAAACAGGAAGAATTTGCAGATAAAGGTAGAGATCTGGATGATGATTTTACAATAAAGGAACCCCAGAAATTTATAGCAACCTACCAGAAACTCAGTAAAAGGCATGGACCAGATTCTCCCTCAGAGCCCTTAGAAAGAATCAACTCTGACAAACATCTGCCCTCCAGAACTGTGAGATAATAATTTTTATTATGTATGGTTCAGTTGACCATCATCCTGTGCACCAAAAGATTGCCCGTTTGATTCCTGGTCAGGACACATGATCAGGTTTTGGGCTCAATCTCCAGTCGGGGTGAGTGCAAGAGGCAACCGATCAATGCTCTCTCTCACTTTTATGTATCTCTCTCACTCCCCATTTCTCTCTAAAAAATCAATAAAACATATTTTAAAATAAATAAATTTCTCTTGTGTATGCCTCCAAATCTGTGGCACTTTATTACAGCAGCCCTAGCAAACTAACACCATTCCTCTGTCAAGATTTCCAGCCTCTCCAACTGAAGTCAGGGATAAAAATCACCTGACTTACTCAAAGTTTTGCTGAGCTTAGGCATTGCTGACCAATACTTTTGACCCTCCTGGGGACTTTTGTAATCCCAGAGATGTTTATTAACCCAAAGCAAATTCCAGTCTAATCAGAGGCCTCTGATGTGCAGTGGAGTAAGATATGTCAATAGTGACATTAGCTGCCTGGAAAAGAAGAGGCCAAAAGCATATGGTGCTCATTGATCCACAAAAACACAGGGACATGAGCAGCAAGGACTTCCAGCCGCAGCCCACAGGATGTTTCTTGATTTGCCTACTCCTGGCTATTCTCCTAGAGGACCTCTCTTGGGCACCATCTTCCATAGGCAATGTCACTGAGGACAGTGGAAGAGGCCATGAGAGGGACATAAACAATGATCCCATGCCTGCAGCCTTCTACACTTTGAGATGTGCACACTTTATGACCACAGTGCTGGGAATTAATAAAGGGTGGGCAAAATCATTTTTCAGGCTCGGTATTTCTCTGGAACTCCCTAGCAATTTCAGGCTTCTGCTGGTGCTTCCACTTCTGATAGTTGTAGATTAGTAACTACATCTGGATGCCTTGTGGAGCTCTGGTCCTTGAACTCTCCCTGGATCTGAACTGTAGACTTCACATTTCTACCTCCATGTAGAAATCCCAAGTTCTCACTTCTCTTGATTGAGGCTTGGGAGGAAT